CTCTTATCCAAGTTATACCTCCTGGTGCATCATATATGAGTTAGAAATGTTGAACAAAGAATTCATAAATGGGAAAGCAGTCTCTTTTGGTCTGCCTGTTCAGAAACTGGGAGGAGAAAGCTTTGGATGAACAGAGTTCATTTGATTTTCATGTTGACTAAGTACTACTTAGAAACATGACTTTATTTCAATTTTTATTCCTGAAAATTATTCCAGGAGGCATGAGTCCAATTGCCTTAGTTCTTAAAATATAGTGACTATGGGCTCATCTTTCTTTGGTTTTATTTGAGGGAAGTTTTTGGAATCTGGATATTAGTGATTATGGAGGAGAGCTGTGCATGAAACTTGCAGAAAGTCATACATGGGCTGAATTTGAATGAGCCCCAAAGCATAGCCTGATTCATGTGAATGTTTTCAGATGTTTAGATTCTGGCCATTGAGGGTTGGTTATAGTAATCATTGGGCTTAGTAAGTATTTTGAAGCTTGCTTAAAAGGCTCAAAAATTAAACTATTTTTAAAAAGCAATCTAGATCTGGCTCCTATACATTGTAAACCTATTTCATTCATCTTTAAGGCTAATAATTTTCCTCTTCAAGCCAACTTTGCTCAACTCCATCATCAATCATGACTTGTAGGGCAAAAGGATATTAAGGAATTTCAACTCTATTCACTGTTGCCATTTTAATTTCTGTTATCTCTTGTTCTTTTAGGTCTCATTCTTTTCACTGCAACTGCACCATTATTTTATGTCCTTGTAGGATGAGAACACTGTGTAGTTTGGGTATACTTCTTATTCAAGCAAATGCCCCAAACCTAAGTATACTCTGCTGTAAACACAGGGTAAATAAACACATAGTTTATTCCATGTTGTTCAGTGATTTCTTCAACAGATATCTAATGGCAATCTTGTTAGACACTATGCAAGAAGGACACAAATATTATGCTATCCTGTCTAGGATCTAAGTAAAGTCACAGTGACATACATGGAGTGAAGACAGTTACTGTCTTAAAGCACACAAAGAAAGAGCTGCTAAGAGAATCCAGGTCTTTAGCTGTCAGCAATTTGAAAGTAAGACTCAGTTTGATTCCATTTTTGTTTGATTCATTTTGTTTTCAGGCTTTCAATGAAGGGAACAAGAATCCAAGTCTTTATGACCACGTTACCTAACTTGGCTACTCTGAATAACACAGCAGTGATTATGAAAGTATAGATATATGTCTTTGGGAGTCTAATTGGACACCTTTGGATACAAGCCTAGAAGTGAGATTGCTAGCTCAGATAATAGTACTATTTTTCATTTTTTGGACAAATTTTCACACTGTTTTCCACAATAGTTGCACCATCTTACTTTCTCTACAGTAGTGTACAAGAGTTCTCTTTTCCTACACAATTTTTGCCAATGATTGTTATCTTTAATTTTTTTTTTTTGGTGCTGGTCCTGAGGCTTGAATTCAGTTCCTCAGCACTGTCACTGAGCTTTTGTGCTCAATGCTGTTGAAGTTGAGGTCTGTCTCAACTTCTGGCTTTCTGGTGATTAACTGGAGATAAGAGTCTCCTGGGCTTAACTGTTGGGTGTCGTGGCTGGCTTTGGACCATGATCCTTAGATCTCAGTCTCCTTAGAAGATTACAGGTGAGACCCTCGATGGCCCAGCTTTTGATAAAAGATAAAAGACAGTAACCAGATGATGGTGTTTATAGGGATCTGTTCCTGTAGTAGCATTACTTATCTATGTCGTTGTTCTGATATTCTGAAATTATGACAGTTGTTAACATCACAGCATCTCAACAGAACTAACCACTAACCTAATACTTAGTGGTCTGAAGAATACCTGATCCCAGATAAGCAAATGGTAACAGAATCTCAAAATGCTGGCTGGCTAATCAATCAAGAACCAGAACCTATTAGGGAGAATCTACTAGGAAGAATGCAGTCCCCTCCAAAAAAATTAATACTAAAAGGTTTTCCAAATGGGCAAAACAAACCATAGAATTACAAGATCAGTGGCAAGTCAAGGAAGCTTACTTCTCACAGAAGTAAGGCAATAGAGGAGATAATGTAGGATCTAGAAGATGCCTTAAAAACACTGCTGATAAATATGATTAATGAGAAAATAGAAAGCCCACCCAAGGCAGTTTGTGAGCATAGTGAGACTCATCAAAGACTCACAGAAGAATTCATGGAGTCTACAAACAGAAAGCTAAATGAATTCCAAGAGAAGAAAAGGGAGTTGAATGAAAAACTATGTGCCCAGCTAAAAGATTTGAGAGAAGAAACAGATAAACAGATCAAGAAAGTAAAGAGGTCCACACAAGACCTAAAAGAAAAATATCAATAAAAAGAAATAATTTTAAAAAGACCAATTAAAAGGCAGAGAAATATAAAACAAAGTAGAGGGTCTTGACAGAAGAATAGATGACTTAGAAGACAGATTACATATAATAAAGAGGAGATAATTATCTAGAACAATTTCAAGAAACAAGACATGAGCTTACAAAACTTCAGGACTTAAAAAGAAGACCTAATTTAAGACTGATAGTTCTTAAAGTACTACTGAAGGGCAACTAAAGGAAAAGGAACCACTTAACAAAATTCTAGCAGAGAACTTCCCAAATATCCAAAAAGATAGACCCATTGAGATATAAGAGACCTTTAGAATACCAAACAGACTAAACCAGAAAAGAATATCTCATCACCACACTGTAATCCACACAGGATCAATAGAGACTAAGGAAAGGCTCCTTAAAGCTGTCATAGAGAAAAGATTGATTACTTATAAAGGAAAACCAGTCAGAACAACTATAGATTTCTCAGCCAAGACCATGAAAGCAAGTGGAGCCTGAATTGGTGTATGCCACACCTTAAAGGAAAACAACTACCAACCAAGAATAATGTACCCAGAAAAGCTCTCCTCCACAACCAAAGGACAAATGAAAACTTTCCATAACACAAAAAAATTGAAACAGTTTCTCTCCACCAAACCAGCACTACAGAAAATACTTAAAGACAAACAAGATATTGTCATAGAAAATACCCCTCACCAAAGAACCTGGTAAATATAGTAAGAAAAGATGAAACTCAGCCTCTAAGCAGGTAGATAACATGGCAGGAGTTACCAAACACTTCTCAGTCATAACTCTCAGTATCAATGGACTTAATGCTCCAATTAAATAACATACATTTACTAGCTGGATCCAAAAGCAAGATGTATTCATCTCCTATCTAGAAGAGACACATCTCGCCAACAAAAACAAACACATTCTCAAAGTGAAAGGCTGGAATAAAATCTTTCAAGCAAATGGCTCTCATAAACAAGCCAGAGTAGCAATATTAATATTAGATAAAAAGACTTCAAATTAAAATTAGGGACATTACATAAATAATCAAGAGATCTCTATTACAGGAGGATATAACAATTCTAAATATGTATGCACCAAATGCTGGAGAACCCAACATAATAAAACAAATACCACTTAACCTAAAAGCAGACATATATCCAAACACATTGATTGTTAGTGACTCCTTTTTTTAGTGTTGGTAGTGGGGTTTGAACACAGAACCTTGTGGGTGTAGGCAAATATGCTGGTCCTTAGCCCTTTCTTGCTTTAGTTATTTTTCAGATAGAACTTCATACTTTTCCCCTGGGGTTAGCTTCCCATGTACCTGGCATTATAGGCTGTCCTACAACATTAGGTATATTTGTTGTTATTCGACCTATCTAACTTTTTATCTAGTTTGGCCTTAAGTCACAGTCCTCTAACTCTCTGACTCTGGGAGTTGGGATTACGAGTGTGAGCCACTACATCATGTCCATTTTTAAGTCAATCTGCTATTATTGATTTGCAAGGCATCATATGTTTTGGATATTAAACTTTATCAGATAGATGCAGATAGGTGTTTTGAAAATCTTATCTTATCTCCCCCTCCTCACCCCAGCCTGGGCTGTATTTTCATTTTGTCAATAGTTTCTTTCATGCAGAAGCTTTGATGCTATTTCAGTTATCTATTTTTACTTTTTTTTAATTGTAAAAATGTTCAGAGGGGTTATAGTTGCATGAGTAGGGTAATGAGCACATTTCATAGCGAGCATTGTTACCTCCTCCTTTATTTTGAAAATCTATTTTTACTTTTATTGTGTGCTTTTGTATATTTTTCAAGAGACTATTGCCAAGGCCAAAGTCAAATGCTTTGTCCCTGTGTTTTCTTCTAACAATTTTATGGTTTCAAGTTTTGTGTTTACACATGCCTTTAATCTATTTTGAGTTGACTTTTGTGTGTGGTTTAAGAGAAAAGTCTAATTTCATTCTTTTGCATACAGATATCTAATTTACCCAGCAACACTTAATGAAAGACCTATCCTTTCCCCATCTGTCTTCTGTTCTTGGCATCCTTGCTGTGTGTGTGTGTTGCTGTGTGTGTGTTGCTGTGTGTGTGTGTGTGTGTGTGTGTGTGAGAGAGAGAGAGAGAGAGAGAGAGAGAGAGGAAGAGAAGGAAGGTGAGGGGGGGTAAATGGGGGAGGGAGAGAGAGATGTTTTCCTACTTGGCCTGGCTTTGAAGCAGTATTCTCAGATCTCAGCCTACTGAACAACTAGAATAACAAGAATAAGCCAGTAAATGACTGGCTCTGTTTATTTTGTGATTGAGAGATTTGAAATCAGGACCTGGGCACTGTCTCTGATCTCTTGTCCTCAAGGGTAGTGTTCTATCACTTTGAGTCACATGTCCATGTTCAGTTTTTGAGTAGTTAATTGAAGATAAGAGTCTCATGGGAATGTTTCTGCCTGGGCTAGCTTCGAACCACAGTCCTCAGATCTCAGCCTCCTAAGTAGCTAGGATTACAGGGATGAGCCACCAGCTCCTGGCTGGCTCTGTTCTTAAGGAGCTTTTAGTTCCTGCTCTAATAGTAGGCCATAATACATAATATGTGGAAATGATTACAACGGATTCAAATAGTTTCCATGTGTAAACAAGGCATTCCCAAACACAAGGATATGGCTACCTGGTGGCAAGAAGAGGGTATGAGTGAACTGGACTGAACCAGGTTTCTTTTCTCCTCGGCATGCTGTCATAGATTAAGAGGTCTTTCTCAGTCAGAACAACCAGGGCTGGTTTCCATTGTTTCTCACTTTCGCCTGGCACCTGAAAACAGAAAGCAGAGAACAGTCAAACACCAGTCAGAGAACAGAGAGGTTTGAGAAGAGCAGTTGGCATCCCTCCACCAGAGGACCCCCATTATGAATATCTTTTGGACCAGGTTGCACTATCATCAAAATAGAAAGGGAAAAAGTCCAATTCTGATCAGTACAGTCAGTACAGCCAAGAAGCAGCCCAGCTGCCGCACATCTGTCTCTGGTTCTCACCTGCCAGTCAGCACTGAATTTCACCGTGGGAGGCAAATGCTTGGGGGAATCAAAACTCTCAGCTCATTCGCTAGTAGAGTACATTTTTAAATTATGAACATTTCTGAATAAATAACCAAAGGCACTTAAAAAATCTGCGGTGGAGACAAATGTCTCCATAGGTGTGAGACAATCACAGCCTCTTCATTCTTCTGCTTTTTAGTTGTCCCGGTGATACAGTCACCATCTCAGCATCTCTTGTTAGTATAAAAACAAAATTCTTCAGCTGAAATCCCCAAATGAACAAGCAGTCATGAGAAAAGCTGAGCAGTTGGATGATCAGACCTGATACACATTGACATGCCTTCCCATCTTGAGAATTGTGGAAATAAGCTTTTATCTTATGCTTCATCTTATTTCTCTAGTGTTGATCTTCCCGAGCTCCACAAATACTATTTCATCTAAGAAGGTCCCTGGCTTCCAGTTTGAACCCTGGGCATCCAGATTAATACTGAAGATTGGCTTGGAAAACCCAATGCTCTAACCCGGCTTCTCAGAAAATGGACAGAACACGGACCGTGTTCTAGTTTCATCAGTGTTATCTAGGGGACTGCTAGAAATGCAGCTTCTCAGGCCCATCCAGACCTGGTCCATTGGAATGTGCATTTTATCAGGATCTTTGGCTGATGCATGTGCTCATTAAAGATGAAGCATTGCTCTAGATGAAGTGAAGATAGTCTTTTCTGATGTGGGTACTTCATTCAATGAAAACAATCCTTCAATAACTAGCCACAACTCAATATCCATTCTGAATTAAACTAAATAGCAAGCTAAACACATAATGTAGGCAATTAAATCCTGTTTCTATTCTAATTCTCACATTGTAAGGGCAACAGTGGAATTTGTATTGAGGTAGAAGCATGTGTGTAATACAGCTTTTGTATAAAAAGCCATTACTATTATTTCCTGGTATGCCAATAAGTGGTTATGTGCTGGGTGCTTGGTAGCTCACAACTCTTATCCTAGCTGCTGAGGAGGCTAAGAATGAGAAGATCATAGTCTCAGGCCAGCTCAAATAGAAAAAGTTGTAAGATACTATCTCAAAAATAACCAGCAAAAATCCCCTCAAGGGTAGCAATGTGGTTCAAGGGGTAAGTGCTTAGTAAGAAAGAGGCCCTGAATTCAACCCCCAATACCTTCAAAATAATAATAATAATAATGATAAAATGAATGATCAAAGTAGAGATGTGCAGCCTAGTGCAGCCAAGGGAGGGTTTTGTAAGCTCTGCTTGAGTCTGAGAACCAGTCCTGCTGTTTCAGGTCTGGGTGAACTTGTTTTTCTCTGAGTTTGCATTTCCTCACTGGCAGCAGAGGTTGTGCTAGCTCTCTCTGGAACTCGAGTGCTTGAGCAGAAATCTCTGCTCCACACTTTCCTTTCTAGATTTTAGCAATAAGCTAAAATCCTTTGTATCTCAGTTTCTGTATCTGTAAAATGGGAAATGATAAGACTCATAGCAGCGGTGCTGCTGTGAAGATGAACTCAGTGAAAATCTGATAGAGGCTAGCCTAGTTTGGTACAAAATCCATGAGCACCTGCCCCCAAGCTCTATGGCAGGAGCTAAGTGTGACAGCATGTGTGAAGGACGTAGTAGCTCGTAGATGGGATTCTTTAGTAAAATGAGATGGGACCGTGAGGCAGAACTGCAAGATGTCCTTTGGAAATGTGTCAACATGACCAAGTACTGAGGAAAATTCTAAGGTTGAAGCTGACAATTACAGCATCTTCTCCACTTTTCCTTTCCCAAGTTCTCCCAGGAAGAACCCATTGCCTCATGATGATGTTTATTTTATAATGGCTCATTTTAAACAATTCTAAACATATGTGAGCACTTCCATACTGCCCAACTTATAGATTCATAGGCACATTATATCTGCCACAGCACATTGGTTTCTCTGGATCTGGCTTACTTCACTTAATACAACTTTTTCCAAGTCTAAGATGTTCTTTCTAATAGATCAGCAAAATTCTATTGCATTTACATATGTGTGCGTGTATGTGTGTGTGTGTGTGTGTGTGTGTGTGTGTATATCCACATCTAAGAGGGGATGGGAGGGCCAAGGAGAGAGGGGTAGATGGATGAAGTGGGGAAGGAGGGGAGAATGTAGTGAAGACTTCATTGTATACACCACACAATTAGGAGAAGTAAGGGAAGTAGTTGTTTGAAGGAGGGGGAGTGAAAATGTTCAAGGGGCGACACTGATCAAGGTGCATTGTATTCATAAACTGTTTTGTTCTGTATCACCTCCTTTTTACAACTATTTAAAAGTAATAAAAAATAAAATAGCAAATATAGAAAGAACAATATAATTATAAAAAAAAATCTTGAGGGCTGGGAAGGTGGCTCAGTGGTAGAGCACTTGCCTTGCATGAATGAGGCCCTGGGTTTGATTCCTCAGCACCACATAAGCAAAAAGAAAAAAGCCAGAAGTGGCACAGTGGCTTAAGTGGTAGAGCGCTAGCCTTGAGCTGAAGAGCTGAGGGACAGCAACCAGGCCCAGAGTTCAGGCCCCATGACTGGACCCCCCCCAAAAAAATTCTTGACACAGAATCCCTTTCTAAAGAAAGCATCCCCTGGCCTTCTATCCACCTTGCCAGCTGTGAAGTTGCTTATACTAGAATGTGCATGACTACTTAGATTACTTTTCCCTTAATGAGTTTTATGCATATCTTTTAAATCTAGCTTAAGCTTATTGTTTTTGTTAGAAATTTTTTTTTTCTGAAAAGAACAAGAACATTTCAGGAGATCAACATGGATTATTCAAGAAGGCAATGTGCCAGACCTTACAAGGTGAATAAGCTTTGGTCTCAAGGCATAAAATGTTTTTGGGGGGGTTTGAAATAATTTTTTTCCAGCTTCTACATTAAACTCAGTAAATTACTTTTCCAGCTCATTAAATAAGACTGGAGAAGCTTCAAATGATCCTCCCAAAGTGACTATCTTACTTACCTAGTCAGATCTGATCCATTAACTTTGACCGGAATCAGTCATTTAAATGTGAACATGACAAAGCTCTCTTCTGCAGAAATAGCAGTAAGTCTCCACAGTAAACACCAAGACTGAAAGACAGGCCTCTGGGGGGAGAGGGGCTGAGGGAGGAATCAAAACCTTAACCTTCCCCTCCTATCAAGTGGTATATGTAGCTGAATGATTTTCTACAGCCCTAAACATTCTGTGTTTTATTAAAGAGCCCGGTGTGCCTTTGTTGTACTCTGTTTGAGAATACTCCAGGGGGCATTTTGCACCAACCCTGTGTGGAAGCTGTCATTTAATGCTATGTAAATGACTGAAGAGAGAAGGTTGCTCCTGAGAACAACTGACTTTGTAAAAAAAAAAAATCAGGCTGAAGAACAGGGTTTCTAAAACCATGCCTTGTGCTATATAAGCCCCACACTTAAGCCCTGGAAGTACAATGTTGTTGAGCTCAAGAATGCATGCTCTTGTTTTAGTGAGGGCGTCCATTATAAATCCAGTTGTCCTGGCACCCAAAGATAATCCAGTGTGAATGCAACAGCTCTGCAGCTGTGTCAGCATTTCATGAAAAGGAGATGTAAGATACTTCCACTTCCATCCCCGCATCCTGCTCTGGAAGTTGCAGTTGTCATTCTCAAGAACGGATTGTGGTTCTAAGGAAAGAGGCAAAGGAAAGGAAATGGGAAGACATCAAGCGCTGAACAAAACCTCAGCAGCACAGCTGAGTCCTAGCTGAGTCCTGGGCACATGCTTGCTTCTGCTGCACCTGAGAGGGAAGACCTACAAAACAGCCCAAAGAATGTAGGGAGGACTGTAAGAAGCGAGTGGTAAGAAATGTGGGAAAGATTTTTGCTGTTCTAACTGGAGTGAGGTGATATCTCAATGTTGTTTTGATTTGCATTTCTTTTATGGCTAGGGATGTTGAACATTTCTTCATGTGTCTATTGGCCATCCTTCTTTCTTCTTCAGAGAAGCTTCTCTTTAAGTCTTTCGCCCACTTACTTATTGGGCAGTTGTTTCTTTGAGGATTTGTTGTTGGGTGGTTTAATTTTTTGAGTTCCAAGTATATTTTAGATATGAGACCCTTGTCCGTTGTATGGCTAGTAAAGATCTTCTCCCAGTCCGTGGGCTTTCTATTGATCTTGCTAGCTATGTCATTTGCCCTGCAGAAGCTCTGCAACCTTATACAATAGAACTCTAACAACAACAGATGCTGGAGGGGATGTGGACAGAAAGGAACCTTACTTCATTGTTGGTGGGAATGTAAACTTGTTCAACCACTTTGGAAAGCAGTATGGAGGTTCCTCAAAAGACTCCACATAGAGCTCCCCAATGACCCAGCAATCCCACTTTTGGGCATTTACCCAAATGATCACAAACAAGGCCACACTAAAGCTACCAGCACAACTATGTTTATTGCAGCATTATTTACCATAGCTAAGACATGGAACCAACCCAGATGCCCCTCAGTAGATGAATGGATCAAGAAGATGTGGTATATATACACAATGGAATTCTATGCCTCCATCAGAAAGAATGACATTGCCCCATTTGTTAGGAAATGGAAAGGCTTGGAAAAAATTATATTAAGTGAAGTAAGCCAGGCCCAAAGAAACATAGGTCCCATGGTTTCCCTTATTTGCAATATCTAGTATAGGTATGAGTCAAGCGGAAAAAGTCAGATAATGTGATGTTAGGAAAACGAAACCTCAAATATGTATTTTAATGTTTTTGTTTCTTTCATGCATGTGTTTCTAACGCATTTATA